TAGTAACGTTATTCCTTTATAATTTTCACAGATTTGTTGAATTTGTCTCCCTTTTTATATATTGTTATAATCTACCCTACCTCACAGTCTCCTGGCATTTTCTCTTATTATTTTTTAATAGTATCAATATTTTTCCTCTCAGTTCCCTTCCTCCGTATTAATTCCGTATTAATTCCGTCGTTACGGATATATATATATATATATATATATATATATATATATATATATATATATATATATATAAAACTATTTGGATGGGTTGGAGTCAATAAAAGGGGCTATTTGTTGACTATTTTTTACTCGAGCTTTCAATTGTGATTACAATTTTTATCAAGAGCTTCTAAAAAATAAAAAATACAAAATATCTTACAAAGTTGAACTAGAAATAAATAATGTTGTTGTTAACTCACCAAATAAAATTAGTTATTTATATAAAACTGCTACTAACATTAGTACTACTATTACAAAAAATATTATTAAAAAAATGTTTTATTCTAATAAATGTTTCTCTGAAAAAAATTTTGATAAAGTTTCTTCACAAAAACATTTTAATTTGTAAACAAACATTGAATAGCTACAATTCAGCCTAAATGTCGTAAATACCAACCTAAAAATTTTTATTTTTGACATATTATCAAAAATAAAATTTTTGTTTAAAAAATTCTTTTTTGTTTAGTAACAAAAAAGAAGAAAATTTGTTCACCATTGATAGATGCCTGAAAAAATGTAACAAGTACATGGAAAATTCAAAATGTGATATTTTACTGATTGCATATATAAATTACATAGAAAAATATAATTATAAATTTGGCTATATATATATATATATATATATATATATATATATATATTTATATATTATATATATATATATATATATATATATAGGGGAGCCTGGGTACGGTTGTAACAGGGTACGGTTGTAACAACTCGAATATTATCGAAACTGTGTACGGCAGGCGAGGGGCACAAGGGAAGGGATACGCAGACAACGTGGCCCGACACGATTCTCAGTACTGCATCACCTTTCGCGCGGTATTTACACTATTAGTAAGACCTATTGTGTTTTTGTCAACCAAAAGTAAGTATTTTTGAGGAATTTCTTTCTGTTATAACTTAAATATTAATATTATCACGTATTTCAAAATATGCTTATATAATCGTCGCAGTTTAGAGATTATAATAAGCTTATTTGTTTTTGTATAGGCTATGCTACTTCGTGCTTGCGACAGTATTATTATCAAAATGGGGGGTGGGGACGGTTGTAACGATTTTCATGGGGACGGTTGTAACAGTAATTTTAACATTACTGTAATTTTATAGGCACTATTTTTGTATTACAGATGCCTAGGCAACGCATAAGAAAGACCTCGAGAGGCGAAAACGACATATTGTTGTACAAGAACGCTTACGATGAAATTAAATTAGGTGCTTCTTTAAGAAGAGCAGCAGATAAGTACGGCGTTAATTATGTTTCTCTTTTGAGATACAAGCGAAAAAGAGATGCGGTAAATGAAGATGCCCAGGAACAGCTGGAAAATATTAAAATGGGATATGTGGCTCATAACAGAGTTTTTAACGAAGACCAGGAACGGCAATTAGCGAAGTATCTCATTCGTTGTGCGGATATATATTTTGGTTTCTCCACAAAAGAGGTAAGAAAGTTGGCCTTTGAACTTACCGTAAAATATAATTTAAACGCTCCTTCCACTTGGCTGGAAAATAAAATGGCTGGAGAAGAATGGTTTCGTTCATTCATGAAGAGAAATTCCGAACTATCTATCCGCGCTGCTCAAGCCACAAGCCTGTCTCGGGCGACAAGTTTCAACCGATATAATGTCAATGTGTTTTATGATAATCTTCAGACTGTTATGGATCGCGATCACTTTGAACCTCAGGATATATATAATGTCGACCAAACCGGCGTTACTACAGTACAGAAGCCTGACAGAGTTGTTGCAAGACGTGGCACAAGGCAGGTGGGCGCAATTACTTCTGCTGAACGAGGCACTTTGGTCACACTAGCATTTGCAGCTAACGCATTAGGCAACGCCATTCCACCTATGTTCGTGTTTCCTCTAATTAGATATCAAGAGCATTTCATTAGAGACGGACCAGTGGGATCAATCGGTGCCGGTAATCCATCAGGGTGGATGCAAGATGAGTCATTCATTATATTTCTTAAACATTTTCAAAAACATACGAATGCCTCTTTGTCGCATAAGATATTATTGGTGCTAGACAATCATTCGTCCCATATACATATCAACTCCTTAGATTTTTGCAAAGATAATGGGATAGTATTACTGTCATTTCCGCCCCACTGCTCTCACAAGCTACAGCCCTTAGATAGATCCGTTTATGGGCCTTTCAAAAAAGCCATTAATACTGCCTGTGATGCCTGGATGCGAAATCATCCAGGAAAAGTCATGACTATCTACGACATACCGGGTATTATAACTATCGCAATGCCACTTGCTCTCACTCAGGTGAATATCCAGGCCGGGTTTCGAAAGACAGGGATCTTCCCATTTAACCGCGATTTGTTTCAAGAAATTGATTTTGCGCCATCGTTCGCGACAGACAGGCCTAATCCAAATGCTACTGAAGAGATGGGCATTTCTAATCAACATAGCATTAGACTTGCACCTGATGACGAATTACTATCACCTTCGTTATTGAATGAGGATCCACCTTCATTCAGCGCAGTAAGCCCAACTGAGCCCGAAAATAGAGCTTCAGCTAAAGAGGCTGCATCGCAGTCATTTACTAACAGTGATCCTAAAAAGGAAACATTCATTGACCATCAAATGCTTACACCAATTAAAATAGCCGAGCTCGAAGCAACAAAAACACCGCCTAGACAAACATCTCTAGAACCTAGCCAAGAATGGCAAGCTGGTACAATAAATCTGGAATCAGACATCTCTCCTCGTGATGCTGTTTTGTGTCAGCCATCAAAACTGTCTACAAGCAAGCAGTCTGTGTTCTCGCCTGAGACTTTACGGCCTTACCCTATAGCTTCACCTAGAAAACTAGGAAACAGGAGCGAAAAACCAAAAAGTCTGCTATCTACACAGATACTCCAGAAAAGGAAGCTGCTATAAAGGAGTATGAAGAGCGACAGAAGCGGTTGAAAAATAGACAAACAAAGAAAAAAGTACTCGAGTCATCTACTGGAAAGATAATCAAAAACAAAGGGAAAGGAAAAGCGAAGAAAATGAAGATTAATACACCATCAGAATCATCATCAGAAGAAGAATATTATTGTTCTTATTTGCTTAGACACCTATTCAGCGAGTCGATCTGGAGACAGTTGGATTCAGTGCCAAGGTAGCTGCAAACAATGGTCTCACGTGGCCTGTACTGATGGAAGTAGATATTATATATGCCACAACTGTGATGAGTCTGATTAAATATAGGAAAATATAATTTGTTTAAGCTCTGATTTTGTTTGATATTTTTTATTAATAAATTTGATTTTGATTTTGTTTGGTATTTTTAATTAATAAATCTGATTAAAAAATAATAAAACTGATTTTATATGTGTGATTTATGTATTATTTTTGATTGTTACAACTGTCCCCTATTCGTGTTACAACCGCCCCTGGTATGGGGTCGGTTGTAACAATCGCACACTTATTTAAATGACATATTCCCTCCAAACTATTTTACTTGAGCTATTGGTTTTGACAATAATTTAAAGACAAATGAATATTACTTCACATCAAAGACTTTGATCGTTGCTTACAGCTATAATAGCTGTGCTATGAAGCACTAAAGGAAAATTGTTACAACCGTACCCAGTCTACCCTATATATATATATATATATATATATATATATATATATATATATATATATATATATATATATATATATATAAATATATATATATATATATATATATAAATATTATATACATATATATATATATCTATATATATATATATATATATATATATATATATATATATATATTATATAATATAAAATTAATGTTTCTTGGGTTTAGGTCCAATAAAGATATGTTACATGTGGAACTACATTTTATTTTCCATTGCAATCAATCAACGTTTCGGCAGGAAACCCCTGCCTTTGTCAAGATTCTAAAATGTGTATATATATAAGGACAAACAGATATTGTATAATATGTATATATATATATATATATATATATATATATATATATATATATATATATGACTTACCAAAAAGTAAAACGTGACACAGACATTAACGAACTGACATATAAAAGTTGATATCTGATATCTCATTGTTTACTGTCATTAGTATATAATTATTTTTATATGGGCGTATCGTTTGATGTTTTTGAAAAAGGTAAGGTGGAGATATGTTATGACTTAAAGAGCTTTTTATGATGTTATATTATTATTGTTTAAATCAGATTGAAATATATTTTATTTAGGTTTTGTGTATCTTTTTTGTCATTTATTGCGTTGGTGTTTCTTTTTATATCTATTGATTCGTATATCTCCCTCTTCTTTTTGTTTTTTTTTTCTGTTTTAAAAATTTTGATGTTTTCAAAATCAAATGTATGCTTCTTCCCGCTTTCATGTTTTGTGAGCGCAGTGACGTTGTTCTTGTCGTATTTGTCAGAACGAATTCTGCCGAAACGTTGATTGATTCAAAGGAAAATAAAATCTAGTTCCACATGTAACATATCTTTATTGAAGCTAAACCCAAGAAACATTAATTTTATATTAAATATAATACGGTTCAAGAAACTCAAAATTACAAATATATATATATATATATATATATATATATATATATATATATATATATATATATGTATATATATGTATATATATATGTATATATATGCATATATATGTGTATATATAGATACATATATATATATATATATATATATATATATATATATATATATATATATATAGGAATATACAACACTTATAATTAAAATCCCTAGTAAAATTGAAATAATAAAATTTAAAATGTATGTACCTATTTCAGCTTCTAATGGCCAACAATCAGATGTTAAAAATATTCTGACAGGCATTAAACTTTTACAAAATAAAATAGACCAGCTATCACAAAATTATGACCTAGCTATAGATCAGAATTTCTCTTCACAAAAACAAGACAAGTTTACATCTGAACTTATCAACTATATTAAGAAAACTCACCAAGATACCATTAAGAAGCTTAATGACCTCTCAGAATTGACAGTTAATCTTTTAGACAGCTTTGTAACTAGTAAAATTCAAAATCTTAATAGGTTGGACAAAGTAATGCAAAATGTTGCTAATGGTATTACTGACACTAAAACAAAAGTAGAGTTTGGAGTGAACAAAATTTTGGCGGAGGTATCCAAATATTCAAAAGAAGGTGCTACACATGTTCAAGAAGCAGTGTGTAACAGGTTAGTATTACGTAAAGATATTATTTTTAATTATAGCTATTAAAAAACTAGCTAATTTTTTAACATCCTAACTCGACATTTCTAAAAGTTACGCCCTGAAGAAGCCAAATTAATTCTCTTTGGCGAAAACGTTCGGCGAAACAATTGATACACATTAGAGTTTTTCTTGTAGAGTTCCCCAATATTTAAGAGTTTACTATTTAACTTATCTACAAAGATTAAATTTGTTTTATATATATATATATATATATACAGGGTGAGTCATGAGGAACTTTACATACTTCTACCATATGTAGAGTCCCTCTGGGAGCATATCATGTGGCCACTAAAAAATGTCAACTCCTCTTCTTTATTAATTAACAGGGTGATTTGTGTAATTGACCATTTATTTCATTTTACTGTAGGGTTTATACGGCTCATTTGATTTTTTTAATTTTTGCATGATACAGTACACTACTATCAAGCATTCGACTGGTATTAGCTAAGCTAAAAAATTCCACGACTGGCTTTGGAAAAATTAATTTAGGGATTCGTATTAAATATTACACCCTGTATATATTTTTTTTTAAATGCAATAAGTGATTTTCAAACTACATAAATAGCCAATGAAAACGACATATGCGACAATGTTGTCGCACTTTTATTAAATTTTTAGTGAACGATCAAATCTTACCAAAAATAGAAGAACCATAATGAAGTATCAAATTATAAGGTATTAATTTAAACAAATGTTATAAATTTCAAACATTTTAATTAAAATGAGATCCTACAACATAATCTAATACGTAGAAAATTAACATCTTTACTGTCACTTTGTATTATCTCTACGATATAATCAATTGTTTTTCAATTTTAAATTTTTACTCATAGATCGTATTGGGGCATTATTTTGGATAAATAATAAATTAAATTGATTAAAAAGTCATACCTCTTGTATGTGTTAGTTTTTGTTGATTGTAAATGATTAAAATTTTATGTTAAATAATAATACATTGCATCAACTGTACTAAATAAAAATAAATCTAAAAAAGTTTAAAATGAAGGTTGGCGTTGACCGTTTGACGTTTCTTGATATTTTATACGCATTGTCAGTATTGTCATTATCAATTGTTATTTATGTGTACAAGAATACATATTTCTTCTGTCATATCTACGTTAAGTACATTGTGTTAGTTTTGGTAGAGCTTTTGTTACTTTCGTTCAAAATGCCACATCAGTTTTCGACCACAGAATATGCAGACCTAATATTTGTTTATGGATTCTGTAATGGGAATGGTAGGGCTGCTAGTAGAGAATATCGCAGGATATTTCCTAATCGTCGAACTCCCAGTCATCCAACATTTGGGTCAGTTTTTAATTATTTGCGAGAAAATGGCACTTTTCCTAGTGGAACAACAGAGCGACATGTAGATGAAGCGTAGGAAGATGACATTATGGACGCCGTTACTATGAACCCTACAATAAGCCCTAGACAAGTAAGTCGAGAACTCAATGTTACTCAATGAAAAGTAAGTAGAGTCTTACAAAAAATAATCTATACCCATATCACATTCAAATGGTTCAGCGACTACATGCTGGAGATGAGATCGATAGGTTGGAATTTTGTAGATGGATTAACAATAATCGACCAACGCTATACATGACACTATTTACAGATGAAGCCCAATTTACCAGAGACGGGATAAATAATTCACGAATATCACATGTGTGGGCAGAAGAAAATCCCCATGCTATTCGAGAACGTCGTTCTCAGTTAAGGTTTTCGGTCAACGTGTGGATTGGTGTCATAAATAACCAATTAGTAGGTCCTCACTTTTTTGATGGTCCTTTAACAGTGCAGGTTTATTTGAACTTTCTACAAAATATTTTGCCGAATTTGATTGCCAACGCGAACGTTGCTATCCGAGGGATGTATTTTCAGCATGATGGGGTACCCCCACACTTTTTACTGGCAGTGAGACAACATCTCAATAATGTTTATGGCAACAGGTGGATAGGACGTGCAGGTCCTATTTCGTGGCCTTCAAGATCCCCTGATTTCAATCCCGTTGATTACCATATTTGGGGACGATTGAAGCAACTAGTTTACGCAGTGAATATTAATAACCGACAACAATTAACTGATAGAATTATACATTGTTGTAATACTATTAGTAACGATCCCCAGAGTATCCGTAATTCAATACGTCATTTAACAATTCGGCAACAAAAATGTGTACAGGCTGCAGGGTTCCATTTCGAAAATCTATTTTGAATTATTTTTATTTTGTTACCATTATTGTATGTTTTCCAGTTCTAATTTATGGGTTTATCATAACTATGTACATATTTTTAGTTTTTTTTTTTAAATTGTTCTTCGTTATTGTTAGTAGTTACTGTTTTTTGTTGTGCAGTGATTCAGTTTATCATTTCAATTAAAATGTTTGAAATTTATAACATTTGTTTAAAATAATTACCTTATAATTTGATACTTCATTATGGTTGTTCTATTTTTGGTAAGATTTGATCGTTCACTAAAAATTTAATAAAAGTGCGACAACATTGTCGCATATGTCGTTTTCATTGGCTATTTATATAGTTTGAAAATCACTTATTGCATTTTTAAAAAATATATATACAGGGTGTAATATTTAATACGAATCCCTAAATTAATTTTCCAAAGCCAGTCCTGGAATTTTTTAGTTTAGCTAATACCAGTCGAATGCTTGATAGTAGTGTACTGTATCATGCAAAAATTAAAAAAATCAAATGAGCCGTATAAACACTACAGTAAAATGAAATAAATGGTCAATTACACAAATCACCCTGTTAATTAATAAAGAAGAGGAGTTGACATTTTTTAGTGGCCACATGATATGCTCCCTGAAGGACTCTACATATGGTAGAAGTATGTAAAGTTCCTCATGACTCACCCTGTATATATATATATATATATATATATATATATATATATATATATATATATATATATATATATATATATATATATATATATATTGTAGTTTTGAGTTTCTTGAACCGTATTATATTTAATATAAAATTAATATTTCTTGGGTTAGGTTCAATAAAGATATGTTACATGTGGAACTAGATTTTATTTTCCATTGCAATTAATCAACGTTTCGGCAGGAAACTCTTGCCTTTGTCAAGATTCTAAAATGTGTATAAATATAAGGACAAACAGATATTGTAAAATATGTATATATATATATATATATATATATATATATATATATATATATATATATATATATATATATATATAATATATATATTTTATATATATATATATATTATATATATATATATATATTATATATATATATATATATATATGACTTACCAAAACGTAAAACGTGACACAGACATTAACGAACTGACATATAAAAGTTGATATCTGATATCTCATTGTTTACTGTCATTAGTATATAATTATTTTTATATGGACGTATCGTTGATGTTTTTGAAAAAGGTAAGGTGGAGATATGTTATCACTTTAAGAGCTTTTTATGATGTTATATTGTTATTGTTTAAATCAGATTGAAATATATTTTATTTAGGTTTAGTATATCTTTTTTGTCATTTATTGCGTTGGCGTTACTTTTTATTTCTATTGATTCGTATATCTCCCTTTTCTTTTTGTTTTTTTTCTGTTTTTAAAATTTTAATGTTTTCAAAGTCAAATTTATGCTTCTTCCCGCTTTCATATATCGGTCAAACCAGTCAACTGGTTCAATCCAGAATTCGTTCTCACAAATACGACAAGAACAACGTCACTGCGCTCACAAACATGAAAGCGGGAAGAAGCATAAAATTTGACTTTGAAAACATTAAAATTTTAAAAACAGAAAAAAACAAAAAGAAAAGGGAGATATACGAATCAATAGAAATAAAAAGAAACACCAACGCAATAAATGACAAAAAAGATATACAAAACCTAAATAAAATATATTTCAATCTGATTTAAACAATAACAATATAACATCATAAAAAGCTCTTAAAGTCATAACATATCTCCACCTTACCTTTTTCAAAAACATCAACGATACGCCCATATAAAATAATTATATACTAATGACAGTAAACAATGAGATATCAGATATCAACTTTTATATGTCAGTTCGTTAATGTCTGTGTCACGTTTTACGTTTTGGTAAGTCGTATATATATATACATATTTTACAATATCTGTTTGTCCTTATATTTATACACATTTTAGAATCTTGACAAAGGCAAGGGTTTCCTGCCGAAACGTTGATTAATTGCAATGGAAAATAAAATCTAGTTCCACATGTAACATATCTTTATTGAACCTAACCCAAGAATATTATTTTATATTATATATATATATATATAATATATATATATATATATATATATATATATATATGGTTTTATATATACATATACACGCCTGGTGGTTTTAAAACTGTTGTTGATATTCATTCTAGAACGTTTTCAAATGAAAATGCTAAAAAATTTGAATCGTTTTTGTATGACTTGGTCACATTCAACTAATTAGCGTATTTACATAGTATTTCAATTTTTGTTTAAATTTGAATTGAGCCGTTTAAAAATGCCTAGAAACGTGATATCTCATTGTGACAGATCTAAAGTAATTTCTTTGTTACAACAGGGCTTTAGTCAAAGATATATCGCGAATGTTGTTGATGTTGTAAATATTCCAATATTCCAAACTTTTGGACATATGTCTATATATATATATATATATATATATATATATATATATATATATATATATATATAAGGATCACTCAGACGAGTGGTGGGTTCTTATATCGGTTTCAAGGTGGAGAAATAAAAGACAAAGTTGATAGGCTACTTTATCTATTTACGTTTAAACGAAGACGTTTCGCTTTCGAGTTTTGAAAGCATCATCAGTTCACCTAAAAAGTACAATATGAGAACCACACAATCATGGAAACGATGTTAATTGTTACCTTAAAAAGACATGTAGCAGTAAAAGTTATTTACAATAATGTGAATAAAACTAAAGTAAATGAACATTATACGCTGATATTGTATAAATAATCAAGTAACTAACAACATATAGGAACTTATAAAAAATTAGCACAGCAACTAACCATGTGGTCTAAAGTAAATGAAATATTATTTAATCTTAAGTAGTGAAAAAGAACCAAGAAAATCATAGACAACTTCCAACTATTTAATGATTAATAAGCTTTGATTTTTACTTTAGGTAGCATTATAAGTGATATTAATAAAAAAATTTTATTTAAAAAGTAGTGTAAATGAAGTTACCGATCAAAGCCCTACAGCTGTCGCCGGAAAAATGGCGTTAAATGAACCAGAACGAACTAAACCGCAAAAAAAGAGCCAACCTTGAGGTCAAAATACTTTTGACAGATCAGCAATGTGGAGGTACCAACCCAAACAATTGGGTGGTCAATTTAAAAGTTTTAATGAGTTTGGATGACTACCCGGTTGTAAAAGACAAACCAGTGAAAGAAAATTGGTATTATAATAGCAACTCCTCTCAATAATCAGTCTAGACTTACAAAGAGGAGAATTTCATTCAACCTCATATATAAGTAATAACGTTAATCATTATGGCTAGATAATCAGCCACAGGTGGTCAACGATAAATTAATTTCCACAGCCCAAGGTCCAGACACTTGGAACTGTAATTTGCAAAGGATTCTATGAATCAATTACAATATTTGTATTATGTTATTTTAGTAAAAAATGTTCACACTAATCTACGCAATCAGTGTAAGAATATGCAATGTAAGTTGCATATGTTATAGAGAGTTAAGTAAAGAATATTTAATTATTTTATTTAATTATTTTATGTATTTTATTTCTATTTTATGTATTTTAATTATTTAATGAAAATTGGAAAAAGAGTTCAAGTAGTACACCTTACATGACATTTTATAGAATGAAAAGATCATAAAGCCTAATTCTGCAAAATTAAAGCATGATATATTTGGCTCAAGTTAATTATGTCAGTTCTCTTATTTAAAGCATTAGGATGTTTTAGAATTGAACACATTTCCAAAAACTGTCTTTTAGCTAGATTGCGTTCAGTGGCAAGAATCTTAACTTCATTGAAATCAACTTTATGTTTAGTATTTATCGCGTGTTGTGCCAGGGCAAAAGTGTGTTTTGATAAATTAATGTCACTACGATGTGAAGTGAGACGACCTTTTAAAAATCTACCAGTCTGACCAATGTAACATAAATCGCAATTAGCGCATGGAATTCGATAAATCGTGTTAACTTGTTCCAAAGTGGACAAGGGTGTTTTAGTTTTAGAGAACAAATTTCTAACAGTTTTTGCATTCTTGACAGCAATTTTAACTGGTATGTTACTCTGTTTATACAGTTCATGATGATTTCATAAGAATGTTAACATTTATATTTGATTCTAACATCTTATTATTCAATTAATTACTATTAAACTGGGAATAAGCCACAATTAAAGATAAAAATACGTTTATTGACGTTTCAATTTCCACTTCGGAAATCGTTCTCAAAATACAAACAGTAAATTAAACAAATTTTGTTTAATTTACAATTCAACAAAAACAAAATTTATTTAATTTACTGTTTGTATTTTGAGAACGATTTCCGAAGTGGAAATTGAAACGTCAATAAACGTATTTTTATCTTTAATTGTGGCTTATTCCCAGTTTAATAGTAATTAATTTACAATACCACAAGAAAATAGGTTCAGAACAATATATTTTTATTCAATGGTAATTTTTTTAAACAAATTTTTGGCACTCCAATGGGCAGCAAAATATCCCCCATACTATGTAATTTTGTTTTGGATGAACTTATAACAACATGTAAAGAAAAAATACCTTTTCACATACCATTTATTAAACGTTATGTAGATGATTTGATTCTATCGGTCCCTGAAAACAAGGTAACTGATGTTTTAAACACTTTTAACGCCCAATGTGAACACCTAAAGTTTACGGTTGAGAGAGAGGCTGATAATATGATTCCTTTTTTTAGACATGCTAATCCATCGTGGCAATGATGGCATGCTAAAGACGGAGTGGTATCGTAAACCTTCTTTCAGTAACCGTTTCATAAACTTTTATTCTTAACATCCATCTAAGATGAAAACAAATTTGGTTTTGGCTTTAAAAACTAGTGTTATCAATTTGTCACACATAGAATTCAGAGACAAGAGACTAAAAAAGTTGAGATCCCTATTACAAGAGAATTCTTATCCAATAGGGCTGTTAAATAAACTCATTTTCGGCTCTCCTTTTCCTTCACAAGTTTCTGTCAACCAAAATTTTCATAACAATGAGATCCGACAATTGACATTGACACATAACGCATCAATATTACCATCTAAAATAACTTATGGTTGCCTACCCTACATTCCATTTCTGACATCTAAGCTAATGAACATCTTTAAAAATGTTAGTGGCTTAAAAATTACAACCAAAAATGTGAAAACAGTATCGAAGCTTTACACAAAAACAAAAGATCCTTTCACAATACAGGAGTCATCGAATGTTGTTTATTCTATACCGTGTACTAACTGTAATAAAATTTACATAGGAGAATCATTTCGTAATTTTCACAGCAGGGTGATATCACATCGTAGTGATATAAAAACCAAAAAAATCAATGCATGTGCATTAACAGAACATGCACTAACTCTAAAACATGAATTCAATTTCGCAAAAGAAAGAACCATTCAAAACGTGTTTTTTTGGAAATGTGTTTAATAAAATCTAGCACATCTTGCATCAACAAAAAGTCCAACATAGACAAATTAAGCAACATTTATTGTTATTTACTAGAAAAACACAAAAAATAAAATAAATATTTACCTGTACATAAATTACACCTCTGTGTATAATATGTTGCATACCATTAAGACAGGTTTTAAAAGTATAGTCACCTAAGAAGGGCCTCTAGTATTTCTTGAAAAGAAAGATAACATCAATTACACCTAATTACATATTAATTACAGTGTTTTTACTTTCCATTCTCTGTATTAGTTAATATACACCAGTAAAACATGCCATCAACCAAGTTTTACTATTTTTACAATAAATTTTAAAAAATTTATAATGTAATATGTCCATAATTGTATATTTTAATGTCAATGCTTACAACAATAATCTCAACGACTAGTAAGTTACACTGAAGAATTGTGATATTTTTTAAATATTTACATAATTGTCTTTTACAGTGTCTTGAAAAAGGAATAAAACCATTCCGAAAGCTCGACAAAAAGTCAAAAGAGTGTTTTTTTAACATCCTGGCCAATATTCTGACTGCAACCCTAATAAACTGTGTTGTTTGTTTATATCGACAGTCAATAATATCCAGTATTTCTTTTATTTTAAAGTGTGGTATAAATGTTGAGTGTCAATGCTTACAAAAATAATCTCAACGACTAGTAAGTTACACTGAAGAATTGTGATATTTTTTAAATATTTACATAATTGTCTTTTACAGTATCTTGAAAAAGGAATAAAACCATTCCGAAAGCTCGACAAAAAGTCAAAAGAGTGTTTTTTTAACATCCTGGCCAATATTCTGACTGCAACCCTAATAAACTGTGTTGTTTGTTTATATCGACAGTCAATAATATTCAGTATTTCTTATATATATATATATATATATATATATATATATATATATATATATATATATACATTAGTTCCAATTGTCCTAAATGTACGAAGAAAGTCAGTTATTTTCTTGTTCTCTTCTCCAGATCTAGGAAACGCGGAACTAATCTGGCTTGGTTATGGATAGTATTATAGGTCGATAGATAGAGGCTAGTACAATTATAAAGAATACCAGATGCATTATAATATAAGCCTTTGTAGTTTCTTATGTATATATATATTTTCAGACTAGACAATTTTAAAACATCAATTTTGGATCTAGAAAATAGAGCTCTAGTTAATGCAACATCAAAGATAGAAGAGGATATCCAACAACTTTTGCAGAAAATAGGAGTAATGGATCAACAAATGAAAAGTAACGCAGATTCTCTAAAACAATTAGAGAATTGCAAAACTGGGACATATAATATTGATTGCCTTTTGACAGGAAACAATAAAAAGGACCCAAGTCTTTAATGGTAAATATTTTTTATTATTTTCAAAACGGAACAAATATTTACTTTCCTGTACTTAACTGTTTAAATGGATAATGCATATAAATGATATATTACGTCCTTAACTTCACACATTTCCGGTAATAAACGTTTTTTTTTTAATATTTATCATCAACAATTATTTATTTTTGTAATATAAGTCTTTAGATCTTCTTGAATGGTATGAAGCATTATTCTAAAATATTACGGAATCTGTTGGACTTAGCTTCATTCTTTGCTCAAAGTAATATAAGATTATTCAAAATGAAAGCTGTGAGCTTTAGATGAATTTTTGTACTAGTAACGAACACAAAAAAATAATAAATTTTTCCTGCACACAGGTCAACACAAGTATACATTCCACAATATGCGAGGCCAAAGATAGAGTATCCCATAATAACCAAAAGAATACACAAATTAAATCAGTTCCAAAAAGCTAGTCTCAGCGTACACACCTTAATTAACCTTCCTGTAAATAAATCATAATATCTTAAGTTAAACAGTAAAACTAATTATAAAATTGGTATCAATTTAAAGCTAATTTTTATGGTATCTCATGCATTCACATTGTTATTAATACTATTGTGTAATAGTTGGTTAATCTGCAATTAACAGAAAATAACTCAGTGTTTTGCCCTTTTTTGTGGTAATTTACAAATCACGAAAAAACTGTCCATTATCTGTAGGCAATAATTGATAAAGCTCATTAGTGTACAGGACCGGCGTTCAAATTTTAATTTAGAAAATGAAGTGTATGGAATGCAAGAAAGATGGTACTGAAGAAGAAATGCTTTATTGTGATAGCTGTGACCGACCAGTTCACAAAGATAATTATTGTTCTGGTCTGTGTTCATCAGAAATTAGGGTTATGGAGTTAAAGAAGAATCGTGTTCTACAGTTTTTGTGCCAAGAGTGTAAATCTGGAATGAAACTTGTTCCAAAACTGTTCAAATTAATTGAAAAACTGCAGAATGAGGTTAATGATATGAAATTGCAGAATTCTAAAAACCAAGAAGAGGATATTGTAAGTGAGGTATTTGAAAGACAAAAGAGAATGAACAACTTAATCATTCATAATCTAGGTGAATCTGTGGATAGAAGAAACGCTGCTTCTGATGATTTGGCTACTGTGACCTCAATTTTCAAGGATATTACTCAAGAGGATATTAAAGTCGTCAAAGCTGTTAGATTTGGTAAGAAAAACAAAAATGGTGCTCGTTCCCTAAAAATTGTATTAACAAATACTTTTGATGTAAAGAATATTTTAAAAAATAAGATTCACGTTGCCAAAGCAAGGAAGATATTTATTAATTCTGATTTAACCCCCCAGCAACTCAACAAACTCAATGAAGTTAAAGAGGACCTCAAAAAACGCCAAGAACAAGGTGAGAAAGATTTATTTATACGATATATTAAAGGTATACCTGAAATTTGCAAAAATGATAATTCCACACAAAAAAACTAGACACAACGAAACATATAACATATTCACCTCCGTTATCAATTTATTATCAAAATGTTGGTGGATTAAGAACAAAACTAAAGTCACTGGAGATTGCCATAGCTCAATGTAATTATCATATAATCATTTTGGTGGAAACTTGGTTAACTTGTGAATATAGCGATGCAGAATTAGGACTTATTGGTTATAACGTGTTTAGAAATGATCGTAATCCTGCTTCTACAGGTAAAACTAGGGGTGGAGGTGTGTTAATTGCTGTTAAAAATGACATAAGTGCACAGAAAGTGATAATCCCCGATTGTGAAGTAGAACAAATTTTTGTGTCACTGAAAGTTAATAATAAGTGCATAGTTTTGGGTGGAGTTTATATCCCTCCTGCATCCGACCTAAATGTATACATGTTGCACTGCAGTTCAGTTGAATATGTGATGGAGAAGTGTGAAAACTTGTTACTGTGTGGTGATTATAATTTACCAAATGCTTCCTGGAGTAATGACAACTTTGGATTAAATGTTGAATGCCCTGAAGACTATCCTGCTGTGTATTTGGCAAATTCTTTTGGATATTTTAATATGTTTCAAATAAACAATTTACCTAACAGTCGTAATGTCTTTCTAGATTTAGTATTTACTAATTTAAATAATGTTGATGTAGTTATTCCACTTGATTCACTATTTGGTAATAGTATCCACCATTCACCTATAATTGTAGAATTAACTGGTTTTGAAAAGCATGATCAACTGAACTACGAGGAATTTTATTATGATTTTAAAAATGCAAATTACATCGGACTAAATGATTACTTTGCAAGTTTAAATTGGGACTTACTTCTATCAGATGATGTGAATTATAGCTTAGCAGTATTTTATGATTTTATGTTTACAGGTTTTGACTTCTTTGTTCCGATCAAAAAATTTAAAACAAGTTCGTTTCCAATTTGGTTCAATGGTAAATTAAGGAAGTTGATATATTTAAAAAAGAAATTACATAAGCAGTATAAATTGTTTGGTAGAAGGGATGATTATTTAAGATTTTCTCAGTTAAGAAATGAAATTAAACAAGTCTCCTCTCAATGTTATAGTAACTATTTGAATAATATTGAGAATGGGATTATATCTAATCCTCGACATTTTTGGAAATATATCAATAATAAACGTAAAAGTTATAATCTGCCATCTAATATGTTCTACGGTGATAGTACAAGTGATAATGCTCAAGACATAGTTAATCTATTTGGTAAGTTTTTCTCAACTACATATTCTAATTCTAAAATTAATCAGATCCCAATTTTTAACTATCAGCAGAGTGTAAATGTGAATAATTATAGTATTGAGGTCTCTGACATAATTGATAGTGTTTTAAAGATGCCTTGGAAATTATCGCTTGGACCAGATTGTTTGCCAGCTTATGTTCTCAAGCATTGCATTTTCACTCTTGTAAAACCTATCTGCTACTTATTTAATTCCTCATTGAGTACCGGCATCTTTCCTGATCTTTGGAAGACTAGTTATTTAACACCAATTTTCAAGTCTGGTAATAAAAATGATGTTGAGAATTATCGAGCGGTTTGTAGCCAATCTGTATTACCCAAACTTTTTGAGTGTCTTGTAAGTAGCTTTTTGACATGGAATTATAAAAATTTAATTGATGTTAGACAACATGGCTTTTCTAAGGGTAAGTCTACATGCACGAACTTAATATTGTATACGAATTTTATAGCTAATTCAGTGGAACAGAAGGGTCAGGTTGACGCTATCTACACAGACTTCTCAAAAGCCTTCGATAGAGTTAACCATGATCTGCTTATTGCTAAATTAAATGGCTATGGATTTGGAGGTAAAATAATTGAGTGGATAGGTAGTTATATATCTGGTAGATGTCAGTATGTTAAATATGGAAATTGTTTATCAACGAGTATCTGTAACCTCAGGAGTTCCTCAGGGGTCGCATATTGGGCCTCTCTTATTTAATATATTTGTTAATGATATATCCTCAGTGATTAAAAATAGTAATTTTCTAATGTTTGCTGATGACCTTAAAATATTTCGAATAGTTAATGACCTAGTTGATGCCTCTTTATTACAGAATGACATTAAAAGCTTAGCTAGTTGGTGTGAGGTAAACATGCTATACTTAAATATACAAAAATGTTTTAAAATTACTTTTGGAAGATCAAGAGAGTTTGTAAATTATGATTATTATATAAATAATGTACCTTTAGAGGCACGTCATCATATTAAAGATTTAGGTATAAATTTTGATTCTAAACTTACTTTTAAAAATCACATTAACGAAACTTCAGCTAAAGCTTTAAAAATGTTAGGATTTATTCTTAGAAACTGTAATCAGTTTTCAGTACAAACTTTAAAAATGTTATACTTTAGTTTAGTTCGATCAGTTTTGGAGTATGGTTCTCTCATTTGGTCTCCTTCATATAACAGTGACATCTACAGTATCGAGAGAGTTCAAAATAAATTCTTGAGGGTATGTGCTTACAAAATTGGTTTTCTTAGACAGCAATACACATATGATGATATACTGTCAATACTAAATATCTCATCACTACATGATAGACGATGTCAAGCGGATTTATGTTTCCTTTTTAAAGTTATAAATGGATATGTTCAAGATCCAGAGTTACTAAGTTTAATAAGTTTTAATGTTAATACTCGAAGAACTCGTAACACTGAGATTTTCAACATTCCATTCCACAGTACGAATTATGGCCAAAATGAACCCATTACAAGAATTTTACGAACTGCTAATGAGCACAGCAATAATTTAGAGTTATTTGGAATATCTACAGCAGCATTTAAGAAATCATTTGAGCAATTTTGAGCATTATTTAATACCTTAAGTTACCATTTTAATTGAATTTTGTTTGATTTTAATTTTGGTTTGTTTTTTATTAACGCAACCTATGTATACCTAAGCTTTGTAAAGGTTGACGTCATATTTATGTAAAAATGGTATATCCGTTAATTAAATAAATAAATAAATAAATAAATAAATAAATAAATAAATAAATAAATGTAATTCATGTTGTAGCGTTGTAAATTTTCATATTTTTGTAGTATAACCCGACAAGCGAGAGCTGGCGGGTTGCGTGTAGAACAAATTGAAAAGTGGAAGGGATTGCTCATTTCTATTGCAGTCGGCTAGGAGTTCACATCGTGTATAACCGTTTAAGTACCTATACTATATACCTATAATCGCGATTAAGTACCTCTCCTATCTCTCTTAGAATAATTCCTTTTCTATTTTCGCGCAGCTCACCCGCCAGCTCTCGCTTGTCGGATTATACGCTCCTAGTTTTTTATCTCGGTCAGTAAGCAAGTGTTTTTAATATTTCGGCGGACAAGTTAAATGTATGTTGTAAATATTGATATTAGAACTAGGATATTTCAAGTTTTTTTTTTGACGAGATAAGGCAAAAATATAAATGTTTTTATCTCTGTTACAATGTTAGGTAGAAACTCCGGTTTAAAATTAGGGTCGCTAGAATAATCAATAATACGTGT